GCAAAAATAATCGGTGACTAGTCGACTATCAAAATAATCATTTGCGGCAGCCCTGGTAGAAACACTGAAAAATCAAAGTGTGTGTCTAATAAATCTGCTCCTCTCTGTCTGTTAGCCTAAGCTCACTGACACAAACAGTGTGCGGTTTGCAAGTGGAAAATGCAAATGATCATAAAAACACAGAAACTGTATTTCCCGCTAGGCGAAGCGGATCCACGTGTTTGCAGTAGGAGAAACAACACGACTGCACACGAACAGCTTTGGTCATAAACTGAAATCGTGTGTGAGAGCTGAAGGCAGAAAGTGTGTTCACTGTTGTGTTGTTTGTGTTTGGAGGTTCTTGGTATTCGAGTGCGTATGTTTACTCTTCTTCTCCTCACACCTTCTGTTTATCTGATTATAAGCGTGAACAAACACCTCTCGCACACTTCCTGATGCACACAGATAGCAGTGAGTCACTCGCTCGTGCGTGGTCATGCGTCGCTGAGTGAGGTAGGTGAAAGCTGCTTAGTGGCCTGTTAAAGCTTAACCAGCAACAGGAAACAACAGATCATCGCTGCCGTCTCTCGGGCCTGTCACGCGTTCCCTGTTTGCATTTGTGTCATGGCGGGGGGAGCTGAGCCGGCCCCTTCGATAGCTCAGTTGGTAGAGCGGAGGACTGTAGAGGCTGATCGCAGCGATCCTTAGGTCGCTGGTTCGAATCCGGCTCGAAGGAGGTGCTCTGTTTTCTGTCCTGTTGAGGACAGTGCTGGGACACAGCGCTGGATTTTGAGTGTTTGCTCAGTGTGTGTAAAACATGGAAGTCACTACCCGTTTGTTATTCTGCGTTCCAGATACCTCAGAACTCGGATGTCGGAAGCACGTTCAAGGAAAAGTGTTATTTAGAGAGTCAAAAATACACAACAGTGAGAGTACAGAATGAAAGCTTACTGTTCAGTGCTGCCATCGTGGAGCATCTGCTGCAACTGTCTGAGTTGATGGCGCGTTCCGCCAAAAACTTAAGGAACGCATCGTTAAGCCCAGTCTATCAGCTGTGTGGTCATCAAGCTGGAAAAACAGAAGA